AGTCAACTCAACTTTGACCAAGCATAACTTTCTCATACTTTATGATAAATGGCCCATCCAAATATCATTTTGAATATGATGCAATTCCCTACAATCCATCTTCATCTCCCAAGATCAAAAAACGCACTCACAATAAGTTATGAATTTGGATATTATAGGTCATTTTGAAAAGTCAACAAAAATACTTTTTTTTGTCAAAGCTTAATACATGAGCATGGAATATCAAATTGATATGAGACCAAAAGGGTTGGTTAGAGGACATCTCAAGCTTTCTAAAAAGTCTAATAACACCTCCAAAGAGTCAAAATTGAGGAAGTTATGCATTGTTGAAGTTGGACTTTTTTGCAAAATTGCCAAAAGTCAACCATCCCCAAAACTTCAAATTTTGCCAAATAGGCCCATTATTTTCCACTTGTTTTGAGTTGGCATTATTGTCCACGTGCTATAGCCTTGGCCATGTGTCCATATCATATTTTTATTAATCATTTTTATTTTTATTTGAATTTATTTGATTTAAATCAAAATAAATCAAAATAAATCAAATAAAAATCAAAGCATTGATAACAAAGGATCTTTTGATTTGTTTCAGGCTCTAATTACAGCTAGCAAGGTAATGAAACTCGTATCAAGCCATGTGGGTACAAAAATATTGAAAAGAAGTCAATTTTGGAAGGTGGTTAAAGGAGAACCAAATCCATATCAAAATCATTGAAAGAAGGAGATTTGGACAGGGTATTCAAACCTAATGCATTGTACAATACATAAGGGTCGTGTGCATATCAAAATCAGGGTTGGAGATCAAGCATAGAGGGAGAACATAATTTGCAAAAAGAGGCAAAAAGTGTGAGATCGAAATAGGGCTTAGAGGCATCCTCAAGGCTTGGTACGTGTCTCAATCTCTTCCTGGAAATCTCAGGAATCTAAAGCAAGCAAAACCACACGCTTTCAGACCCTCCCAAGCGCTGTAAGTCATTCACGAGGCCGCCCTGTTCTTGATTTCGTATTTTGAAAATTAGGCATTGTTAATATGAATTGATTGCATATTATTGATCCCCATGATGTTTGCAAGCTTTTGCCAATAGCCAATTTCATTTATCTGACCTATATCATGAATCACCATTGCTAGGGTTTTATATTTGGTTTTAGGGCTTTTTGTTACAGGAATAATTGGCCCTCGTGAAGGGTACTATCTTGTTCAGGGGAACAAGACGAGTTCAACCATGGTGCTAGCTTACATTTATATTGCCTGTGGAAGAACTTAGAGTGAAGCTACGATATTAGCTGCGGATAAAATCTGCAGGTAAAAGTTCTAGTTTTTAGAGGACAGGGATGATGCGTTGGCACTCCCTCATTTGTCCATTCAAATACCAACACACCTTTTTTTTTGTCCACTATATTTCTTTTTCTTTATATTATCATTGTTTTGTATTTTATTAACAACAAGAACCACATGACCTAGTGGTTGCCACGCATGATTTCAGGGCATTAGAGGCTGGAGGTCAGGGGTTCGATCCATGCCTCCAGCATTTGTTATTTTTCCAATTTATTTCAGATGATCATGTGCATGCTCAAGCCAGGAGATCCATCATGGGCATTCACCATCGAACACGCCATATGGCCAGATCTGGTGGCCAGCATTGAAGGTGTACCAAAAGGCCAGTCAACGCACATGCACTGGATCAAAAAAAGTCCAACGGATCAGCATCATTGGGCCAACAAAATTGCTATTGACACCCCAAAAAACAGGCCCATCTCACTCTTTTTTTAATATATATTTTTTGTTTATTTCATTTAATTATTTTATTTTATTTAATTTATTTACTAACCAATAAGTTAATTTCTTTTTATCAAAAAAATCACAAAAAAATATTTTTGTCCAATTAAATTTCAAAACTTTATTTTTTATTAATAAATATTAACTAATTAATTAGGTTTTTAATTCTAGAATAACTTTAATTTATTTTGTAAATATTTAAAATTAATTAGAATTAATAGGTTTTAACATTAATTAAATTATTTTATTTTCTTTCCTAAATTAACAAAAACTCCAAAAATATGTCATTAATTGTTTTTTTTCATTTAATTAATTTATCATTTAATTTTAGAATTTAATTTCTTTTCTTAAAAATAAAAACAACAAAAACTTTTTTTAATTAAAAGGGTCAAAACCCTAATTTCGCATTCGATTTAATTTCGTATCGCGCGCTTTATTTTTATTTATCCAATTAATGTATCTGCTTCCGGTTTGTAATAATTAATTAGGATATTTACTTTTCCGCTTTTAAATTTCAAAGGGTTGCTTTTGACGATGTAAATATCCGACGCCTTGTAATAATTTAGTTTAAATTCCGCATTTTAATTCTGCAAATTATATAACTGTTAGATGTTTGATAATAGGGTTTGCATGACAAAAATGAATACTAAATTTAAAATAGTTAGATCACCCTAAACATGTGCAAAGATAAAAATGACTGAAATCAACACACTCGCACATGCACACTCCTAGGGTACACTCCCACTTGGTTGCCTTCGGTAAACGGTCATTGAGTATATGTTATTTTAGAGGTCGCCCTCTTGTCTAAAAGATCATAAGTTGCCTCGAAATGGTTACCCCAAATATTGTTGCCTCGGATAAATGATCTAAGACATTAGGGTTACCACTAAGATATCCTAACATTGCTTTAGTGACCGTATGTCCCTCTTTCGAATTGACCCTCAAACTCCAACGACGGTGCTACCTACTCACTAATAGTGGGATAGCATTGTATAAAGGAGACAAACATAGAATGATTCCTTTTTCGAGTAGGTAAATTAGCTCTTAAATACTTGCTCAAACAAAACAAAAAATTCACACTTACACTCTTTTACAAACAAGTTTTCAAAAACACTTCATTACACTCTTGAAGACAGACGCAAGAGTTAAATCGAAGTCAAAACAAAAACTTTTTAAAATCCATAAACATAAAGAAAACAATTTTGAAAATGATGAGCAAGTACCTAAGTTCCCGTAGATAACTACGGATAGAAAGGGTGCTAATACCTTCCCTTTCTATAAATCTACTCCCCGTACCCAGAAATATCTCGAAAAAGGAATTTTGCTGTGCTTTTTTCCTTTCCTTGTTGGATAAAATAAAAGTCGGGGGCGACTCTTGCTTACTGCGACATTTTGCAAACATAAACGCAAAACGCAAACCAGCATTCCAAAAACAATCAGTTCTTCCCACCGTATCACACAATCCACCAACAGAGATATGAAAATTTTGGTGAGAGGAATTTTATTGAGGAACGAAAGTTTGATTTACAGAGTGAGGAATACATAAATATCCATGCCACTCTAAAAAAGTACAGATTGACTACCTTTAAACACTCAATTCAATCAATTTTTTCTGAGTTGGTGAAGGAATTCTATGCAAATGCCTACAAAATTTCTTCGGATGCGCCAAAGTTTGTCAGCTATGTGAGAGGAAAAACAATTTCATTTGAGTGGAAAGTTATAATCAAAATTTTGAAGCTAAAATTCAAAGAGTCTTAGTGCAGGTATGAGGATAATAAGGGAGCAATGCGTAGAAGTTGGCCCTATACTGAGATGTTGAACAAATTGGCTATTCCAAGAGAAGGATGGCATGGCTTCACGCCTAGTAGAGACCCTGATAACGTCCTGAGAAAATTCTGACTAAGTCTATTGCACCCGTCCCAAAATCACAGGTATTATACTATCGTCATAACTTCGACACCAACATAAGCGGTTTGGAGTTAACCACTTTGAGGGCTTTAGCAATTTACTATCTGCTGAATAATTAACCTATTAATTTGGGGCAAATTATTGCGGAGGATATGGATGTCATTGCTCAATCCAAGTCAAAGAAAACTATGAGTCATGCCTCTATGATACTTATGTTGCGTAGGAAAGCGGGAGTTGAACCTTTGATAGGTGAAATTCAGGTGCTGGCGTCCAAGGCAATGCATGCCACATGGATTGGTAAGATGAATGTGGTTGCTGAAACTGAGGATGCTAATGGGCAGGGAGAAGGAACTCAACCTAGTGATAATATGCCAAGGTATATCCCAATGTATGAGTTACCCACGGGAGTGAACCTCACTTACCGTTATCACCACTATATGGATGAGAAGTCCTATGCATACCGAGTAGAGACATGTAATTTCTGCTTTATGCATGATATCTGCGCAACATTTAATATTTCTGAACTCTACCTTACTCATGAGATTGATGCATGAGGTGCTACCCAGCGCTACCGCAACCGTGCAACTGCAAACCCACTCCCTCCTTATTATGGATGACATCAGATGTCGGGTTTCTCATATGACATGCAGATATGAGGCCACATAGCTCCTCAAGTATCTCGTGAGCCTCTGCCACCGCCGTCCAACACAAACGATGATAACATCTTCCGTACTCTTCACAGGAACCTTAGTCTGCATAATAATGATGAGGAGGCATCTTAGCATGCTTGTGGTTGTTTTAAGTTTTCATTTTATTCTTGTTTGTGGTGTATCAGTAATTTTACTTTCATTTTATTCTCGCGCCACATATTAAATGAGGACAACACATGTACAAAGTGAAGGAGACAAAAAAATTTAAATAAATAAATAAAATTGAAGATAAAAAACTGTTTTAAATAAAGAAACCAAAATATTAAAAACAACTAAATACCAAAATATTTTTATATGAATTAAAAATAATAATCTATAAATAATATTTAAATCAAGGCTAATAAATTTCAATAAAAGTCCAATAAATCAAGAATAATCCAATCCATTTTGAATCTGACTAAAATAATCATTGACAAATGTCTTTGATTAATTAGGAAGAAAAATGAGTTAAAGAGTTTTCGAGTTCCATTGTAATGACAGTTGCAAGGAGGAGGAAACCGACGCGAACTGCTCAAGTCGAAGACCTCCAAAACTAACCAACTTTCACACAAGAGAACGGTTTATTTTTCAGATTTCAGATCTATAGCGAAAAATCCATTCCCGGTAAAATGGTTTTTTTCAGAGTTAAATTACCGCCAATGGATCTGATGCGTTCCGAGAAGATGACCTTCGTTCAACTCATCATTCCCGCCGAGTCCGCTCACCGAGCCATCACCTATTTAGGCCAACTCGGTCTTCTTCAATTCCGTGACGTAACTTCTCTCTCTCAGATCCCTATTTTTTTTCATTCTTTCAAATCATGCATGTCGATTTTCGCGCGTTTTACTTTTTTTACTTCGTTGTTTTCGTTGAATTGAATGCGTAAAAATGCGTGTCGGTGTTTCCTTGATGAATGATTAACATGCAGCATTGTTGAATTTTGGAATTTGGTGCGAGGGAGTGGATTTTGTTCGTTGAAGTCGTTCTCTGGTTTGTTATGTTGTTGATTTATCAAGTAAAGTCACGGATACCGGAAATATGACACCAACACTGTTAATAATTTACAAAATAATAAATTAACGAAATCCCAAGTGTCGTCGGTGTCCGTTTCCGTTTCGGATACTGATGATCCTGATACACATTTTTTCATCGGCCTTAGTGTTAGAGAGTGCAAAGTACTATCTAACATTTAATTGTATTCTTTTTTTTTTTTATATATTTAATCCAAATAAATGGTTTGTCAGTTTGTTGATGAGTGAACTGTTTGATTGCATTAATGAGTTGCTTAAGTTTTATGTTGCATGTGAAATGTACGGTTTTAGAAAATGGTTTTTTGTTGTTGCTTTTAATTAAAAAAGCATACTTGTTTCCTATTTTCAAAGATACACTGGGGAAAAAGTTATGTTTACATTTCAATGAAGCACATACATCGGACCAAACATTTCGGATGCACGTCTAATAATTTGAAAAAATGGAAGTGATTGAAGATGGTTTACAAAATATAAAATGTTTTTTCACACCAAACTGACCCTACTAAGTTATTTTATATTTTAGATTATTTTTTTATTTCTTGGGATTTCCCATCCTGTTCGAAGATGGTTTACAACTTACAATTACATTCATTGTTTAAATGATTCAAAGGGCTTCAGTTTGGAGTTTGAATTCCAACTCCCACATTGAACTCTGTTCATCGCCTTGCATTGTGCTGTTGCATAATGCTAGTGTAGGTTCAAAAGGATAATTTTAGAAACTTGATTATTCTGAATCCTGGCTTGGTTCTGATTGTGTGTACTGCTACTATTGATAATGGTAAATTTTATCTGTAAATTGTAATTAAGAGCTTCTATGTGACTATACAAGTAAAAGTTTGCGGAGAACCATCGACACAACATAGGGAAAGTGCTGTACGTCTTGATATTTGTAGCTTGTTTAAGCCTAGTATCTTGTATTCAGGATATGCTGGCTATACAAAAACTTCGATGTTTTCTGGTCTCGATCTATTCACTCAGACATTTCACTGGGAGACACTAAAAGTGGGGATGTTATTTTGATTTCCAATAGCATATATTCATATACAATTCTGTCTCCTGTTACAAAGGATATTTTGGGTGGCAATACACTACCATGGGAATTAGGAAATATTCAAAACTTGTTTTAATTTTCTTCTTCACGGCCATGTGTGCTACACCAAATAGTTAAAGTATCCCAATTTTTATGGTTTACTACCAAGCAAAAAAAGGTTTTGTTGTTGTAAACTCCACTGTTTGGATGATGGAGGTGTAGAATTCTTCTATGATCTTTAATTATTGCTTTTCTTATGACTGTATTTTCTCCTCTGTAGTTAAATGCTGAAAAAAGTCCCTTCCAGAGAACATTTGTTAACCAGGTAATGTATACTGCACTAAATATTAGAATTCCTGTTTATTTTTCATTGCCTTTTTTTACAACTACCGTACTAAGTTTACTAGTTTTAAAAAAAATGAAAATATATAATGAGTAATGTAGTTTGTTTCATGTGAATCAGATTATAGCCGCCCAATCTCTAGATCTTATATCAAAAGGTAGAAGAAAGAAATAGGTTCAAACTGTAGGAAATAGTTTGTTTGATGTTTTCTCTCTCTCTTTTTCTAGAATTAATGCCTACTTGATGCAATCGGAAGCCTAGGGATTAGCAAGCGCTAAATCTAGAACGAAAACAGGGTTGCAAGCGCAAAATCTGTCAGATAAACTCTGGAGTCCACCAGGAATAAAGAAAACTTCAAATTTTATTAAAGGAAAGATAACCCTTATGGTCATGCCAAAGGTCTTTAAATACATAAAACAAAATAACCCTTATGGTCATGCCAAAGATCTTTAAATACATAAAACAAAATAACCCTATGGGCCTTTAATCCAAAACAAAAATAAATAAATAAAACAAATAAAATATAAATTGTTAAAATTCTAGAAACTAGTAAAATGCTATTGTCGGGCCTGAAACAAACTCAAATGGTTTAAAAATTCACATGTCACTGCATAGCAGTGCGCACTTTCCCTTTGATACGTGCAGACAGCCTTCCCACGTCATTCTCCTTCACTTCAAAAGAACTCGCCCCCGAGTTCTCTTCTTGATAAAGAGTTTCATATGATTGCTGCTTGCTATAAGTACCAACTAGTAACTTCTCCTTACGCAGAAACGCCATCATATCTTTTCCCACATTGAAAACTTTAATTTCCATGCGTTTATCTCGCATAGGAGAGAAATTGTTTGGTATCTCATATGCAGTCAAATCCTTGAAATTCTTTAGGACCTCTAGCACTTCTTTTGGAATTGTTTTCACTTTTACAACACTCATCACCTCTTTAGTTAATACTGAACATAAAAATTTAGTTTCTTTAATAGTCTTATCAAACTCCTTTTCACTCTGTGTCATCAACAAGAAACTAGATTTAATTCCTCTTGGACCCTTATCAAAGTGCAAAACAGGATCCATAGCAATTTTATGTGTGTCCCATGTAAACATCATCATGTTATCACTTTTTCGATAAGTGATATCATTCTCAAATTGCCAAGGCCTACCAAGTAAAACATGACAAACATCTATATCAAGATTTCCATCTTTTACCTCATTGATTTGCAAATGTTCCACCTTTTCATCTATGTCATGATTTTCACCTTTGCTTACAGGCATATCAAAAGTTAGTAGCTTTGAATTTTCACTTGAAAGACATTGCTCTTCAGATTTCAAAGCAACTGCAATTGTAAAAGAATCTTCACTCACTTTAGTACAAGAATCAAATTGAGAAGAAATACCATTATCCTCGAGTTGATTTTTGCAATTGATTGTGAGACTCTCATTGCATAAATGTCCTTGTGCATCTCTTTCATATTTACCAAATTCATCATCACCATAATTCACTTCAGTATTCTTTACTGCCCCTTTGACAATTTCGGACCTTGTCTCTTTAAGAGAAATTGTCTCCAATTTCTTTAGTTCAGGAATATTACTCTCAGGTTTGCAAAGTATAGAGCTTTTCAGCAAGGTGTGTAAATTAGAAACTTTTACCTGAGAAAAGAAATCAATGAAAGGAGATGACTTCTGTTAGCCTGATGATTTTATTGTTCCCGTTTGATACATTCGGATGGTGGATGTAGAACATAAATTGTATTATCCAAAAGTTTTCCACCCTTAACATGTCCTCCTCTCCTATCTCTTCGTTGATTCCCGTTGTTGTTGGCGTTCTTCACCTTATTTGCTAAATTCGCCATTTGTTTAGTCAAAGCAGTTAGAGTCGCGGTAAAAGCTGCGGTAATTTCCTCAAAATCTGTTGTGGTTGTCGGTTTATTCGCCATGATTGTCAAGTTAAGAAAAGAACAGGAGAAAACCTACTCTGATACCAACTGACGCAGTCGGAAGCCCTAGGGATTAGCAAGCGCTAAACCTAGAATGAAAACAGGGATGCAAGCACAAAACTTGTCAGATAAACTCTGGAGTCCACCAGGAATAAAGAAAACTTCAAATTTTATTATAGGAAAGATAACCTTTATGGTCATGCCAAAGGTCTTTAAATACATAAAACAAAATAACCCTAATGGGCCTTATGGGCCTTTAATCCAAAACAAAAATAAATAAATAAAACAAATAAACTATAAATTGTTAAAATTCTAGAAAATAGTAAAATGCTATTGTCGGGCCTGAAACGAACTCAAATGGCTTAAAAATTCATGTCACTGCATTGCGATTAGTTGGACTTCTGGGCCTATTCCCTTTTCGAAAAGGTATAATACGAATAATTCTGACATCGGACGCCAAACTTGCGCAAATCATGCTGAATCGTTCTGACGCGCGCTTTCCCGTTTGATACGCACAAACAACCTTCCTACATCACTACTGAATTCAAAGAATAATAGACATTGACAATATTTTAGGTAGAAGAGGAGATATATAGTTGACATATAAAACTCCTCACTAACACATTTCTTAACACAACTCATGGATGTTGGTGATGTCAAAATGTTGCGCTTCGCCTAACGAGTTGGATAGAGTGTTACATGACCAAGGAAGCAGAGATTTGCTGAAACTGATCTTCAATGGAAATTTTTGGACAAGCATTTAAAATATCAATAAGTCAAAAGCTGAAACTTCCCATCCATATTCATAAAAAATAACAATCGAAGGCGATAGGGAAAAAGTTAAAAACCCAATAAAGCTTGAATCTTTTTTAGATAAACTCAATCCATAATTTTAAATAGTTAAGAAAGTAAACCATGGAATATAATGAAGTTTGTAAACCAAGATCACCTTTATAACCTGGTATTTTTGGATTACATATCTTGATATCTATTGTCAAAAGTCATGATTGGACTTAGAGGAGGAAATAGGCGAGGCTGACCAACAAGGGCATACGTCCGAGCCTACCTCAAGGATAAGTCGAGATTTTTTTTAATAGAAAAGGCCTATTCAGCTAAAATTGTTAGGCGTTAGGCCACAAAGAAAGTCTTTAAGGCCTACTTGGCCGACCTACTTAAGTAAATATAAATAATTTATTTTTATAACTTGTTATATTAGATTTTGTACTTTGTGTTAAACATTTTAATCTTCTCTTTTCATGGAAAACATTTTCATTAATTTAAACATATTAGCTTACATTGGTTTTCATATAATTGTAATAGGTTGTCATATAAAATCATACTCTCTAAATAATATATTAAATATCAAAATATAACTTAATCTCATTGACCTATTAGCTCATTAGTCTATTTAAATGAGTCATATTACTTATTTGCAGAAAATAATATGAAATAGGCCTTTAAGTAAACTTATAGCCATAGCAGACTTTCAATAGTCTGGCTCAGACCCAAAAATAAACATATGACATGTAATAGGCTTGGACTTACCAATAGAAACTGCATTTTGTTTTATGACAGGTAAAGCGATGTGCAGAAATGTCAAGAAAGCTACGATTCCTGATGGATCAGATCAATAAAGCTGGGATAATGTCTCCCAGTCCTGTCTTGCAAACAGATACATACTTGGAGGATATAGAGGTCCTTCTCTATTTTACTTTTCTTTTCTCTATATATCTGATCATTGTCCTAGGGCTTTGGCTCAATATAAATGTTGTCATGTTGCCTGTAATACACTGGTTATTTGCTGCAGTTTCACTAGTTTATGTGGGGATTTTTAGTCTGAAACCTGACTTTTAATTTCTGTGGTTTCTCTTAAACCAGGTGCATCTTGCTGAGCATGAACATGAGATAATTGAAATGAACTCTAACAGTGAGAAACTTCAGCAATCATATAACGAACTCCTTGAGTTCAAGAGTGTACTGCAAAAGGTATTGTATTTTCGATGGCTATTTGTGCTGAGCTTATTCTTTTGTTACTTTCAAAGTACTAGAGTTTTCCACATGGTCTCGGTTATTTTGGTTACAATAGATTTTCCTGTTTGAATACAGTTAGCAAATAGTGATCTTTCTAATCATAACTTAATCTTATTTATTGGGGTTTGTAGTTCATCTGTTGCTCTACAACGGTTCTGTTTTTAATCTGCTCCAACAAATGATGATTTATTCATAATTAATGCAAATCCTTCTCAGTGTTAATATATTATACATCCTATATACTCTCTGATATATACATATGATATCATAACATTGTATGGGTATGCTCTACAATAGTTCAGTTTTTAATCTACTCCATCAAATGATGATTCATTCATAATAAATGCAATCCTTTTCAGTGTTCATATATTATACATCCTATATACACTCTCTGATATACATATCATAACATTGTATGGGTATGTATCTACTCCATCAAATGATGATTTATTCATGATTAATGGAATTCTTTTCAGTGTTAATATATTATACATCCTGTATACACTCTCTGATATACGTATGATAACATTATATGGGTATATTTTAGGCATGTAGTTTTCTTGTTTCAAATCATGGCCATGCCGTTTCAGAAGAGAGAGAACTGGAGGAAAATGTTTACTCAATTGGAGACTTTGTCGAGACGCCATTTTTGTTTGAACAGGTTCCTTGTAGCATCCCTTATTGCCATTCAATTATTTTACTGTGAAAAGTGTAAATTCTGTTCAGTTTTTCAATTTTATTTTATCGTGAAGTTCACTGTAATATAATTTTTTGTACAGGAAATGATGCCTGATCCGTCAAAACCAAACCAATCTGGTTTAAGATTTATCAGCGGGATAATTTGTAAATCCAAAGTTCTCAGGTTTGAAAGAATGTTGTTTCGTGCCACAAGAGGCAATATGCTTTTCAATCAGGCACCAGCTGATGAACAAATTATGGATCCTATTTCAACTGAGATGGTTTTCTTTCTTCTTCTCAACTTAAAAAACAGTAATTTGGCTTTAGTTTTAATCTGTATTTTGTTTGTTTTGGTTTATTTACCAATTTATTCTCTGTTCTGAATTTCTTTTCAGGTTGAGAAGACAGTGTTTGTTGTGTTTTTCTCTGGGGAGCAAGCAAGAACAAAGATTCTAAAAATTTGCGAAGCATTCGGTGCAAATTGTTACCCTGTTCCTGAAGATATAAGTAAACAAAGGCAAATAACTCAGGAGGTAAGAATTCATAGCTAAAAAACATGCCATCTGTTGTCCTCTTCAATTAATACTGTTGTAAGTCATATCTGTGGTTATTAGGCGTATATTTTGTAATTATGTATAATCCTTGTATTCGGCCAATTAATTAGGCACATTAGCTATAGTGTAGTATATATAAGCATATTAGTGTATGTACTCTTTTATTAGAGTAAGCAATAGGCCTAAACTCAAGACTGAGAGATGTCAGCTTAAGTGATATCAAAATCTGCTATTGCACGTCAACTGGTTTTCTACATATAAAGCAAACACAGTTGCAGCAAGTTGTAACTAACATTTCAGATATTCAAAAGTTAGTTAGAACAGAAAATGCATCTCTCTACTCTACCTATCAATTCTATCATCTTTTCACAATTAATATATTATTCAGAAATATCTTTCTATGTGGTATTAGATCCTATCCAAGATCCGTTGGGCCATCCCGTTGTTGAACTCATGTCATACTCCAAATCTTCATTCCTAGACATGAGAAGTGTGTTGAGAGTCCCACATTTAATGAGATATGACCTGAAAAGATTTAATGAGATATGACCTGAAAAGTGTTTATAAGCGAGAGATATCCCTCACTTTGCAAGCTGGTTTTTTGAATTGAGTTAGGGCCAATCCAATTTCTTAAATATAATATTGTATTGTAGCAAAGGGTCTAGGACCAAGTGTGCTCCAGTCTCTAGATAATACAGGGCTTTATGCGTCTATAGTTTCAGTTAAATAATATGCTTTGTCATTTTAAATTGCATACTAGGGACATCAACATCTTAATTTCAACCTTTATCATAAATTAATATTCAGATTACTTGTCTTGCAATCCAAGAGGCTTCTTTATATGCACTTTATGATTTCAGTTTGCACTATTATTTTTTGGGTGAGATCTTTTCCTGCAATATCATTCAGTAGTTTAAACAACAACTCAATGGAGAGAAAAAAGAATAGAATGAGTAGACCTTGAAGTTTTGGATATTGTTTTAACTTATTGAATTAGGAGAGACTAAGAGACATTTAGGTTAAACCGTGTGTTATGAAAGCACTACGGAGACTTTATTATATATAGAGAGATTACAACTAATTACACTATATAATCGATGTGGGACTATTCTACATATAAATATTCTTAACATTATATATTTACAAATATCAACACTCCCCCTCAAGCTGGAGCATATAAGTCAAATGCACCAAGCTTGCCACATATATAATTAGTTTTGGGGCTTCGCAGAGATTTTGTAAACACATCTGCCAATTGATCATTAGAGTTGACAAAGCTTGCGACGATGTCGCCAGATTCGATCTTCTCTCTGACAAAGTGACAGTCTATCTCAATATGTTTGGTCCTCTCATGGAAGACTGGATTTGAAGCAATGTGCAATGCAGCTTGATTATCACATACAAGTGTCATTGGTCTTGCTTCTTCAATTTTAAGTTCTTTGAGCAACTGTTTTAACCAAATGAGTTCACATGTTGCCATTGCCATGGCCCTATACTCTGCCTCGGCGCTTGATCTTGCAACTACATTTTGTTTCTTACTTTTCCAGGATATAAGATTTCCTCCAACAAGTACACAGTACCCAGAGGTGAATCGTCTATCAGTTGGTGACCCTGCCCAATCAGCATCAGAGTATCCAACTATCTGAGTATGTCCTTTATCTTCATACACTAAACCTTTTCCTGGAGCACATTTGATGTATCTTAGAATCCGTATAACAACATCCATGTGTTCCTGACAAGGGGAATTTAAGAACTGACTTACCACACTGATTGCAAAAGAAATGTCTGGACGAGTGACTGTGAGATAATTCAACTTTCCAACCAATCTCCTATACCTTCCCGAGTCTGATAGAGGCTCCCCCTGATTGGGTAGTAGTTTGACACTTGGATCCATAGGAGTATCAACTGGTTTAGCGTTCAACAAATCTGTTTCTTCCAAAATATCCATAGCATATTTCCGCTGAGAAATCACCAAACCATCTTTAGATTGGGCTACCTCAATACCCAAGAAATACCGGAGTTTACCAAGATCCTTTGTCTGAAATTGATTTGAAAGATGTTGTTTCAACTGGAGTATTTCCGAGTCATCACTACCAGTTATGACAATATCATCTACATACACAATAAGATAAATACACCCTTGTACTGAGTGACGATAAAAGACAGAATGGTCAGCTTCACTACGGACCATACTGAATTGTTGTACTACAGTGCTGAATCTGCCAAACCAAGCCTCCGGAGATTGCTTAAGACTGTAAAGAGACCTGTGTAGCCTACAAACCATATTCGATGACTCCCCCTGAGCAACAAACCCAAGTGGTTGCTCCATATATACTTCCTCTTCAAGATCACCATGTAAAAATGCATTTTTGATGTCAAGTTGATGAAGAGGCCAGTGTCGAATGGCTGCAATGGCTAGAAGAAGTCTAACAGATGCCATCTTGGCTACAGGCGAGAAGGTATCACTATAATCCAACCCAAAAATCTGAGTGTATCCCTTGGCTACCAAGCGAGCTTTAAAACGATCAATCTTACCATCTGGACCAACCTTCACTGTATAAAGTCAACGACAACCTACTAAAGATTTTCCAGTGGGTAGAGGAATCAGTTCCCAGGTACCACTGCTTTGAAGAGCACACATTTCACCAATCATTGCTTGCCTCCACTCAGGGTGAGATAATGCTTCACCTGGAGATTTAGGAATAGAAACAGAAGACAAAGAGGACAAACAAGTATACTGCAAAGGGGAAAGACGATGATAACATAAATCAATATAATGTGGAGAAGGATTTCGTGTTTGACGTATACCTTTGCGAAGGGCAATCGGAAGATCAGACTCAGGTTGCAGGATCGAATCCGGTGATGGCGATAGCGTCAGAGGAGAGTCTGCAATGACCTCAGGGACAGGTACGACCTCAGGGACAGGTATGACAGACGTTGGTTTACGACGCTGATATGTTTGAAGTGGACGAGAAGTGGGGGGGTCAACCGTAGGGGTTTCTCGTGGGACAAGTTCCCTAGAATGATGGGGAATAATGGGAAATGGGACGTCCGGAAGAGGTGTGGGAGTACTTTCCTGAAGGGGTTCCGGAGTGACTTAGGTGGACGCAAAATATGGCACAGACTCGAAGAAGGTAACATCGGCCGATATCAGGTATCGTTGCAGAGTGTGTGAGTAGCAACGATAACCCTTTTTGGATCGATGATAACCAAGAAAGACACACTTTAGTGATCGAGCTGATAGTTTATCAAGACCAGGGGAGAGATTATGCACAAAACATGTAGACCCGAAGACTCGAGGAGGAATTGGATGAAGAGGAGAGTTTGGAAACAAGATTGAATGAGGGATTTTATTATTAAGGACAGACGAGGGCATGCGATTTATGAGATAACACGCTGTGAGCACAGTATCCCCCCAAAATCTGAGAGGGACATTACCATGGAGAAGTAGAGTCCGAGTGGTTTCTACGAGATGCCGGTTTTTGCGCTCAGCTATCCCGTTTTGTTGAGGTGTTTGAGGACAAGATGTTTGGTGTAGAATACCATTGGATGACATAAAAGTTTGAAATTGTTGGGATAAATATTCACGAGCATTGTCACTTCTTAAGGTCCGAGTGGTTTCTACGAGATGCCGGTTTTTGCGCTCAACTATCCCGTTTTGTTGAGGTGTATGAGGACAAGATGTTTGGTGTAGAATACCATTGGATGACATAAAAGTTTGAAATTGTTGGGATAAATATTCACGAGCATTGTCACTTCTTAAGGTACGAATGGACAAACCAAATTGGGTTCTTATTTCTCGATAAAATTGTTCAAAAATAGAAAATAATTCAGATCTGTTTTTCATTAAAAATAGCCACGTGCAACGTGAAAAATCATCAATAAATGTTACAAAATACCTAGACTCAAAAGTAGACACAGTACGCGATGGACCCCAAACATCGGAGTGAACTAAAGCAAAAGGAGACGCAGTCCGTTTATTGACTCGATCAGGAAAGTGACTACGAGTATGTTTCCCTAATTGACAAGACTCGCACTGTAAAGTGGATAATTTAGATAAACTGGGCACCAACTTTTGTAGCTTGGGAAGACTTGGATGACCTAACTGCGCATGTATAATGAGTGGAGAATTTGTGGTGGAGCATGTGGTAGATGACGTAGAGAAGTAGTAGAGGCCTTGAGACTCACATCCGACGCCAATCGTCTGTCCCGAACTTCGATCCTGCAGAATAACATCACTGTTAGTAAAAGTGATAGAACAATTAAGGGAACGAGTTAAACGACTGACTGACAGTAGATTAAATGGGCAATTAGGTACATATAGGACAAAAGTAACAAAGAGAGATGGTAGAATTTGAACAGTACCGATCCCTTGGGATCGGGTTTGAGAACCATTTGCGGCAGTTATACTCGGTAAGAAACCAGAGGTAGAAAGGGAAGAGAAAAGATTTTTATTACCGGTAACATGATCAGACGCACCAGAGTCGAGGACCCAAGGACCAAGAGGAGATGATTGAGAGACGCAAACAGATGAATTACCAGTGTGTGCAAACGAAGCCGTGGAACCAGAGGTCTGGTTAGTCTGACACCACCTGAGAAAATCCTCGTAGTTTGGCGTAGGGTTCTGAAGAGAAGGTGAAGTCTGCATAGTGTACGACTTTTCGAGAGTACGACTTTCTGTGAGTCGAAAACGAAAGCCGAGGGCGGATCTGGAACCGGAGGAGGAAGGCGATTTTCCGAAAGAAAATATATATATTTTTGTCGTAAACAGTAGCGGCGGCGGTGAACAGTAGTCCTCCAAAATTTTTTTTTTCTTTTTCTTGGACTGTGCTTGGCAGAGGTCGCTGGAAAAAAAAAGGTGAGGCAAACCGGAATGATGACACGGTTTGTAGAAGAAAATTTCTTACCGGAAGACAGTGGGTCAACCGGGTAAAGCACGGCGAAGAATTGCCTCTTAGAAGGCTCTAGATACCATATTGAATTAGGAGAGACTAAGAGACATTTAGGTTAAACCGTGTGTTATGAAAACACTACGGAGACTTTATTATATATAGAGAGATTACAACTAATTACACTATATAATCGATGTGGGACTATTCTACATATAAATATTCTTAACATTATATATTTACAAATATCAACATAACTATTGGTCTTCTAAGATAGTCAAAGATACAATAGTGATATTGTGAGAAATTTCCGAAATATTTTAACAGAAACTGTATAATTTATAATTGAAAAGATTTAGTTTATGGGTACAGGTTTCATCACGCCTTGCTGACTTAGAGGCCACTTTGGATGCTGGAATTAGGCATCGGAATAAGGCTCTATCTTCTGTAGGAGGTCATTTAGCGAAATGGATGGACATGGTAAGAGTTGGCTTCTAAATGACTCCTTGCCTAAGGTTTTATTCTTCTTTATGTTGTAGCTTCAAAGACATCCTACTATTTTATCGTTGTTTAATTTATAAACCAATAGCTCTCATCCTTGTCATCTTGTCCTAGGTAAGAAGAGAGAAGGCTGTGTATGATACGTTGAACATGTTAAATTTTGATGTCACCAAAAAATGTCTTGTGGCAGAGGGCTGGTGTCCAATCTTTGCAAGAACACAGGTTTTTTCCCTCAAATTTGTTGGATCCTCAGAAATTTTGTTCTTTAAATTTTGAGGAGTTGTAAAGACCTTCGGTCTTTTTGTTTATATTTCTAGTAAAAGGCCTGCTTCTTCTGATTTTCCAGATTCAAGAGGCACTGCAACGTGCAACTTTTGACAGCAATTCTCAAGTGGGTGTAATCTTTCACTCAATGGATGCACTGGAATCGCCACCTACATATTTTAGGACCAACAGTTTCACCAATCCTTATCAAGAAATTGTAGATGCATATGGGTGAGCAAATATTTACTTCGTTTATTAGCAGTTATACAAAGAAGTTAATGTGTTGAAATAAGTTACCTTTTACAAAGTTAGAAATACGTGGCTATGTGTTGTGAAAAATTTAAAATCCTAATGAGCCATTTTATTTGGCAGTGTTGCAAGATATCAAGAAGCAAACCCTGCAGTTTACACAACTATCATATTCCCATTTCTTTTTGCGGTGATGTTTGGGGACTGGGGCCATGGAATATGCCTACTGCTTGGAGCATTGGTTCTTATAGCACATGAAAGAAAACTCGGCAATCAGGTATTGTGATTCTGAGTGTGACATGAATAAAGTAGCAATGGAAGGATTATGCAAAAAGATCATAATAAGCCTCACACATGACATCTATTATGGTTGATCTTACATGAGACTGAAGACTGCGAGGAGAATGTACATATTTATATAAACATGAAGTGAATTCACCAAGGGAAGATAAATAAATACATAATATCATAACGGATACAACTCATAATTACAATATCTCAACAATCTTCTTAGGTAAAAGCTTAATTGATATATCAAACTTGAACATGCATCTTTTTTCATCTGGTGTTTAATAGGATCTCCTTAATTTGTAATGATATTCAAAGTTTGAGCATCTAGTTTTTCATTTTTCCATATTTTCCCTGATAAGGACCAAAAGTAATTAGGTGGCAACTTTTAAGCCATTTATTCTAATGATTTGTCCTTTAATATCTTGTAATTTATATGAGTAAAAGTGCAACTATATACACAATATTACGGACCTATGTTCAGCTCTTGGCAAGTTAAAGACCTAAAAACTCTATTTGATTTCTTTCAGCGACTGGGAAGCTTTATGGAGATGCTATTTGGTGGGCGCTATGTGCTTCTTCTGATGTCACTATTTTCAATGTATTGTGGGTTAATCTACAACGAGTTCTTCTCAGTTCCTTTTCACATATTTGGTGCGTCTGCTTACAAATGCCGAGATATTTCATGCAGGTGTCTTCTATTTGTCTCTTTAAAGCTTATAGTTTTTTGTGGCAATAGGATTTTTTTATTCCATTCTAGCTTCCCAATGCATTACTTGTTGGTGTTTTAATGTTACTATTTTAATTATTCCATCTCTCCTACAATAAGTACAATGGAGACTGCCTCCACCACGTCCACGACTACGATTATGATTACGTCCATGACCTCCACAACTACGATCACTTGAGTTAGAAATAGTAGTAAAGAATTCAGGGGCTATCTGGTATCGTCGCCTAGTAAAGAAGCTCAGATGAGATAATTAGTAAGCTCTCCCACTATAAGGATGGTGGTATTTGTCAAAGCCTGGTCTTTAACAGGACCATACTCTTTTAAGGAGACCATGACAGATATACACCATGAACATATTGTCAAGCTTTGCTAATACCTATTTAGTATCATCATTAACTAGCATAAGTTTGAAGACATTGATAATAGACTAAGCTCGAGCAAATATTTAGATAAATGATAAATCTTGATCAGTCATCTGAAGGGCAGCCAAATGGCAGAAAGACTCGTACAATCTTTGAATATCATTGGCATAAATATTTTGTCTTATGCCAAACCTCATAAAATGTACCATACGGATAAAAATGTGTCGTCAACTTAGACTCAGTAGAATTCCACTGCATAGATTCAAGTTGATTATTAGCTTATTCTCAATCATCTTTCAACTTAGCATCAATATCCGAAGTCTTCTTAGTAAGATAATTTATGAGACGGTGGCGCACTAGTTCTTACCATTCAATTTTTCTATTGTGATAGTAAGTGTTCCTTGAAACGTGTTAAAAATAAATACTTCAATGTAATTACAATATAATAGCTAGTATGTTTAGATAGAGTAAATTCTAGACCTAATGAGTTTTGCTTAACGGGCCACAAGTTGCTCCCTCCGTCTCATGATAAGTGTCTCATTTGTACTTTTTCCATGTCTCAAAATAAATGTCTCTTTAGAATACCAATACAACATTTATTTATTTTTTCCACTACTATACCCTTATTTATTAACTTTCACGTTTTTCAACTACTCCACTAACTATAATAAATAAGGATATTTTAATAAATGATACTAGTTTTATCATTAAAGTCAACACATCTAATCATTTTCTTAAGAACTGCGCAGAGCTCAAATGAGACATTTATTATGAGACGGAGGGAGTATAATATAAAAGTAACTACAAATATTATTTATAGTTTGTTAAGAGTCTCACATCACACAAACAATATATAACTTGAACATATGTTTATAAGTGGGGCAATTCTCACCTTACAAGCCGATTTTGTAGAATTGAGTTAAGTCCAACCCAATTTCTAAGATGGTATCAAAGCCTCGCTAAAAGATCTGTTAGACTATCTACTATCATGTTTCCACTATCGAGTCACCTACCATTTATATTCACGCATCATACCCAATAGTGTTGGGCGTGAGAGTGTGTGTTAAGAGCCGATTTTGTAGAGTTGAGTTAGGTTAAACTTTAATTCTAAGATGGTATCAGAAATGCCTCAATTTGGGCGGCAATTGAGCACGCAATCTGTGGGCGGGCCTGTTAAAAGTCATAAACACTCTAGCTGTCACAGTCCCTCCCGGCTATCCCCTTAACAGTCCAATAAACACGACCTAAAGTGTCAAGATAACCCCACCAACAGAACCGTTGTCATGAGATCGGACTGTCTCTTGAGCCTTGCCACCGCACATGCCTCCAGGCGCTCGTTCTGTCACGTCTGTCTCGCCGATATACACTGCCATCCAGACCTCTGACGAGGTTGGCGCCAATACCTTTCTTCTCGCCTCTTCTGCTCTTTCTGTTGTGCCTAGTTTGGCCTGGGTCGTATTCTCTCTTGTATTTTCCTTGCATTTTGGCACTGCACAAGTGTTTTGGGTATTTTTTCACGACTATTTTGCATATATTTCTTTGCTACTGTTCTTCTATTGTCTTCAAAGATAAGTTTTGATCCAGACTCATAAAAAAGGACAACAAATTTGGTTCTTCTGGGAAGAGCCTCGTATTCTTTGTTTTCTCATGCCATCCTGTTATAACATCTCCAAAAAACTTAATGGTTAGAATTATTTAAATTGGTCGGCTAGGGTAAACGCTAAACATGTGGTATCTTGGACAAAAGCTCTCAAATGATCTAACTAAGAAGTTGGTAGACATTGCTCAAGAGTTGTGTGATGAATGAGAGCAAACAGCCTTTCAATTGCTCTCTCTTCTATGGCAATCATTACTCTGTTGGTCCATTATCTCTCGTATACAACATGTTATGGTATTTGGCATAAGACTAAAAATGTCAATTCTAATGATATTAAACGTCTTTATGATGTTATTCATAATTTGGCCAACTTTCAGACGGCAGAGGACAACATCATGTTTTATGCCTAATCGAGCTCAATTAGACATGAATGAGTTTAAGCTTCTCGTTACTAGTTATGATTCAAAGATGACCGAGAAACTAGATATTGTAAAGTTGAATGAAAGTTGAAGTACTTTTGATTTATCCTTCATAAAAAAAATCCAAATTACTCTGAGAACAATCATCAATAAAAGAAACCAACCATGTCGCACCAGAAATATTTGAGATAGGGGTAGGTTCGCCAACATTTGAATAAATAAGATCAAATGGTTCAATACTTTTAGTAATGTTGTAGGAAAAGCAGTTAAATGGTGCTTAGAAAACTAACAAATGTCACATTTAAAAGATTCAACTGATTGTTTTAAAAACAAAGATGGAAACATACACTTCGTTAATGGAAAAGGAGATGACCAAGACAAGGCATAAGCCATATTTATGAGGCAGAAAAATGAGACTCTGATAGAAACTGAAGCGCAGAAGACAACACGAGTTCGTGCATCAGACCAATAGTATAACCCTCCCTGTTCCTTAGCAACCAGAGAATACATTTTTTTTACAATACAGTTTTGGGTATTTATATTGTCAGAACATGTATAAAAGGTAATGATGTTTGTAACCAGGCTTAACTTGGTGCTGTTTGTTTTCCCATCGTTCTCCACCTCTTATTAGGGATGCACATACTACTGGCTTAGTAAAATACAGAGAACCATACCCATTTGGTGTGGATCCCAGCTGGCGTGGAAGTCGTTCAGAATTGCCCTTTTTGAACTCTCTCAAGATGAAGATGTCCATTCTATTTGGTGTAGTGCATATGAACTTGGGAATTATGTTAAGTTATTTCAATGCTCGTTTCTTTGGCAGTTCGCTGGATATAAGGTGTCCTACTTTTCTAACTTCCCAATTATTTCAGTTCACTATACCTATTATTTTGCTAGATATCCTTTGAGTATAATATAATGGTTTAACTTGCTATGCTTGTTGCTTTAGGTATCAGTTTGTGCCGCAGATGATTTTCCTCAACAGTCTATTTGGGTATCTTTCCCTTCTCATTGTTGTCAAGTGGTGTTCTGGGTCTCAGGCAGACCTTTATCATATAATGATTTACATGTTTTTAAGCCCTCTTGACAATCTTGGTGAGAATGAGTTGTTCAGGGGTCAAAGGCCACTTCAAGTATGGTTCTGATTCTTTTCTTCATTGTTAGTTAATAATTGTTGATATATTTAGTGTTTTTCATCTTTTGAAATTACTGTTTGCGATGTGCAGGTTTTGTTATTGGTTCTGGCTCTAATTGCAGTTCCATGGATGCTCTTTCCAAAGCCTTTTATATTAAAGAAACTTCATAATGAGGTGCCACTTTTTCTTCCCTTGTGTTTGATCTTATTGCTTGAAAGTTAATAGTAACTTTGTTTGCCAAACTTTTTAATTACATGTAAATAATCTAGATTATGTACACATTCTTAACAGTTTGAGTTTCTCCCTTACGACCATGTTTCTGCTTATGGTTGCTGAACAACAAATCTCCCTGAGATTCATTTTTAGAGCAGTCTCCTTTGGACTAAAATAAACAATTTTGAACAACTTCAATTGGCCAAGCTGATTGTTTTGTTATCTTGATGATATTACAGAGATTTCAAGGACGCAATTACGGTGTTCTTAATACCTCTGAGGTGGATCTTGAGGTGGAACCAGATTCTGCAAGGGATTCTGCCAGGCAACATCGTGAGGAATTTAATTTCAGTGAGGTTTTTGTTCACCAAATGATTCACTCCATTGAGTTTGTTCTGGGTTCTGTTTCAAATACGGCATCATATCTCCGACTTTGGGCATTAAGGTTTGATCAGCCGCAATTTTCCTAATTGCCACAACTTCCTATTTTATAAATTCTTGATTTGGTTATTTTTTTGGCCACTTTGCAGCTTGGCACACTCAGAACTTTCAACTGTTTTTTATGAGAAAGTCCTACTGCTAGCTTGGGGGTGAGTGCCTTATAACCTTTGATATCGCTTACTATGTATTTATGTTTTTAATATCATTGTTTCATCTTTAGTCATTGATGCATCACTGATTGCAATTTATAATAGGTATGACAATCTTATCATTCGATTAGTGGGGCTAGTTGTTTTTGCCTTTGCAACTGCTTTTATACTACTTATGATGGAGACTCTGAGTGCTTTTCTTCATGCCCTGCGTCTTCATTGGGTTGAATTTCAAAATAAATTCTACCATGGTGATGGCTACAAGTTCAAACCCTTTTCTTTTGCCGCCTTAACAGAGGATGAAAATTGATCAATTCTTGTCTGTCTCGGTGTATTGATAAATATTTGCAAAGGATATATACATAGGTAAATGAAACACAAGGATAATTTGTGGGAACCAATTTGATGGCTATGGAGGTGGGTTTGCTTGATATTTGACCAAGCAACCAAATTATTGCTCATTTTTCCGTGGCTGTGCTGGTGTGACATATTTCAACCTACTGTCGTGGATATCATCTGTAATAGAATTTTCACTTTATAATTTTTTTATTTTATCACCTAGAGTAGGAAAATGTTAAAATATTAGAGGAGGGAATGGTTAGACTAATTTTTGTAAAGAGGTCCATCAAAATGTAGCTATTGTTTTTTGGTTACTCACACAGAATGTAGTTTGGACTTTTGTGCAAGATAGTATTCACTCTGAAATTTTCTAGTAATGATTTTCCTATGTTATAGTCCCATCCTTTTGTCTCCTTGCAAGGAGTTTGAATTACTATAGTTTGTTCGTTTCTCTCAGAAGTCCTGTCATATTTAATTATTTTTAATTATATTTTATGTATATTAAACTTTGTCAATATCTTTTTGTTGATAAACTAGTAGAATCTCGTGCGGACGGATAAATTAATAATGTTATTGTAAAAATACCTATAAAAAGCTTATATAAAAAGCTTAAAGGAGATGTGCAATAAAAAATTGTGAATTCAAAATATTATAACAGAAGTTTTCAATGTCATTACATATAATATATATATAATATATATAATATATATAATATAGTGTTAAACTTGATAAAAAATATCAAATTTCCATAATAAGAAGCAAGATGAGAACGAAAATCCAACATGTGTAACAATCAATCTTGAAAATGAACTCAAAGATTTGACCTATAATGAAAAAATGAAAATGAAGTGTGTCAGATTGAATATTTGTAGTAGTTTACTTATTTAAGCCTACATAATGTTTGGCATATGTAATACTACCTTCGTTCTTAAATATAAGACTCCTTTGAGTAAAATGTAGGAATTAAGAAAGTTTATTAGAGTAATAAATTTATTGACTATTTTATATAATTTTATAAGTTTGTCCTTAAGAGAGAGAAATAGTTAATATGCATATAACTGTATTTATTATAAATTGTAGAAAAATATGTAATATAATTAGGGATATGTTTGGAAAAAATGATTAGTGCACTTTAAAAGTTGAAGATAGTCTTATAAAAAGGGACAAGAAAAAACCTTAAGAGGGTCTTATAATTAAAGACGAAGGTAGTATAACTTAAAAACAATATATCAAAATCATCCAACATACTCTACCTAAAGTTTATAGTGAATTGAAATGGGTCTTGTGATACGGTGGCAGAATCGACTGTTTATACTGATTTTGCATTTGCGTTCGTATATATTGCGGTAAGCAAGAGTCGCCACTGACTTTTTTTTATCCAAATTAAGGAAAGGGTGAAAAGAACAGAAAAAAATCTTTTCGAGAATTTTCGGAGTAAGGGGGGTAGATTATAGAAAGGGAAGGTGTTAGCGCCCTTTCCATCCGTAGTTTTCTACGGGCTCTTAGATGCTTAGCTCATTTGAAAAATACCTTGTGCTTTTGTGTGTTTTGAAAAATATTTTGAAATGCCTTAGTGCGGCGATTTGCTTTATGATAACTCTTGTATCAGTCCTCAAGAGTGTTGATAAAGCATTTTTTGAAAATATTTTTGAAATGTCTTGTGTAAGTGCAAAAAGTTTGTTTTTGAGCAAGCATTTAAGAACTATCTACTTATACTCGAAAATATTCGTTATTTTTCTCCTATCCTTTAGACAGTGCTATCCAACTATTAGTAAGTAAGTAGTCATATCGTTGGATGTTTGAGGGACATTCAAAGGGACGTACAATCATAAAGGCAACATGTAGAGACGCTTTAGCAAGTTTGTTTAAGGGACTAGATCATTTACCGAAAGGCAACACTGAAGGATCATCGAGGGACTATGATCTTTTTTGTGGGTCTTTGCTAAAGCGTCTCTACTTTCGAGGGTCATGACTGTTTCATTTCTGAAGGCAACCAAAGTGGGCGTATCCTAAAGGTGTATATGTGCAAGGTGTGTTGGGTTTTCAGTTATTTTTGTCTTTTGTTTTAAGTTTGCTAGCGTTTGATTATTAGTCTTGTCATACAATCCTATTATCATGCATCTAGCAGTTAATATGTACTGAAAATAAAATGCGGGAACATAAATCTGACCCTATTACATGGATTTGGGGATTAATTACATGTCAAAGAATGAAGAGATAAAAGCAGTAAATATCCTAATTATTCTATTACAATCCATGAGCAGTTACAATAGTATGAAAAGTGAGAAAATAAATAAATGCGCGCGAATTGAAAAAAGAACGTCTAAAAATTCTAAGAAAAAGGAAATCTTCTCGTTTATTTTTATTTATAAAAAAGTATAAGTCTACTTAATTTTAATTTAAAGAAAAGGTTAAAATAATTATTAATTAATTAACAAAATTAAATTGGTTAATAAAACGTTAGCCTAATATTTTTTTGTGATTTTTATTTATTTAATATTGATTTAAAGAGGAAAACCATTAAGGGAAAATAAACACACAAAAAAATGAAAATACGAAAAGAGAAGAGTCCTTCGATCCAGGGAAGGGGATTTCCCTTCAATCCAGTGGAAGAAGTTGTCTTTCGATCCAACGAAAGGTGGCCTTCAATCTAATGAAGGATGATTGTTATTCGATCCAGGGGGCAAGCTACTTTTCGATCCATATCTGCAAGACAAGCATTAGAAAAAATAAAGATGCAGGACCTGGGTGTCGAACCCAGGTCCTTCGATCATGCCCCAAGCTTTTATGAACCTCCTGCGGTACCCCTGAGCATCATTCTCATAGTTAAAGGCGATTCCTTAGATAAGCGTGTCGTGAGGACCATCTCTTCTCGCATAACCAAACTGATGCAGTGCCAAACAAGGGTTGTAAGTGATTCCTCCCCTAATGCCTAAGAGAGAGACATTAGGGAATTCACCACAGCGATCGATGATGGTAATATCTTCCGAGAACCGTGAACACCAATGAATGTCTGAATGCTTAAGGGACATCAGCCTACGAGACCATTTCAAACCCTGCTCGTTCTTCAAAACAGACCTGGGTAGGTGCGAAATAAACCACCTAGCCAATAGAGGAGTGCAACACAAGAGAGTCCCCCTTCTCTTTAGAGTGCGAGCATGCAGAGAGTGCACAATATCCCCGAGTAATGTAGGCACTAGATTATGAGACAGAAAAATCTTAATAGTGCTCACATCTACGAGTTGATCCGCATTAGGGAAAAGTACTGTCCCGTAAACGAGAAATGCCAACACCTCTTCGAAAGCTTGTAAATCTAAAGTATCCCAAAAATGGTAAGCCTTCTCGAATAGAAACTTAACCGGAATTCCTTGGACACTCCCTCTAGTCTTCCAATTTGTCATTATGTCAGACCGTTGTAAAGACAGAGCTCTAGCAATCTCTTCAGGATTTGGATGTTCTTCCGTACCGTTGAAAGGTAACTGATCAAGAATAGGTACCCCTAAAAACTGAGAAAATTCCTCCATAGTAGGCACTAGCTGGTAATCCGGGAAGGTGAAACAATGGTGCACAGGATCGAAGAACTGAAACAACACTTTTATTAACTCTTCATCAGGTTTTGCAGTGACCAAATTGAGCATCTGACCATGCTTTTTAGTGAAATGAGAACTTTCAATAACCCTTAACGCCAGGTCTTTTAGTTGGAGAGACACTTTCACCAGGTTAATCTGTATAGTGTTCCTACGGGCGGATGCCATGTCCTACAAAACAAGGCAAAAATGAGCCCTAGGAAATCCTTGAAATGGTTAGTCATGATATGTCATGCTTATGATGTCATGATTATGTTAGAAAATCACAAGTATAGCAAACAACAAACAAGTCACACCAAGTCCTTAGGTTTAAGGCCTGCATGAGTTTTAAGGTCATACCCTCTTGAAGTTGGATTAGTTCAACCTGTCCTATAAATAGTAATCGGATTCTAAAGGATCTCAATATCACTAATCTTTCTCCCAGCTTCGTTCAATAGGCGATTGACTCGCAACCAAACAAAACTCAAGAGTCAAACCTCAATGAGTGTAGCATCGAGTATCTGTCGACCTTGGGAATACACCAAAGCCGGCCATCTCGCTACGTCCTACTGGCCAAGTTGTGCAATTAAAGGTTCTAAGGTCAGTTGATGCTTCACGACACCACGTGGCGGCCCCGTACTCTCCCTGATTGACTCAAGGGTTACCGGTACCAACCAAAGTGCCACATCAATGTAGCTATTGCTCCAACCGTGTTGGTATACCCCGTACAGTTCCCTCACAGTTTATTGCTACTTACCTAAAAGGTGTTCCCCAGATCCGGGTGTAGGATCTATATAACCCCAACAAAACCCTTGAATATAAAGCAGGAAAAGCAAAGAGATAAGCAAGCAAGTTAAAAATGACCTAGATCCTAAGGTATACCCCACTTATTTAGTCCCCAGCAAAGTCGCCAGTTCTGTGATACAGTGGCGAAACTGACTGTTAATACTTGTTTGCATTTTGTATTCGCAAATGTCGCGGTAAGCAAGAGTCGCCACCGACTTTTATTTCATCCAACTAAGGAAAAGGAAAAATAACAGAAAAAACCCTTTTCGAGAATGTTTCTGAGTACCGGGGGGGGGGGAGTAGATTATAGAAAGGGAAGGTGTTATCACCCTTTCTATCTGTGGTTTTCCACGGGCTCTTAGGTACTTTGCTCATTTTTAAAATTGCTTGTGCGTTCTTGTTTTGAAAAAGTTTTACTTCGTGATAACCCTTGTGTCAGTCCTCAAGAGTGTGACGAAGTTGTTTTGAAAAATTATTTTAAAAAGTGTTTGTGTGAAAAGTTTTGTTTGAGCAAGTACCTAGGAGCTAATTTACCTACTCGAAAAAGTCTGTTCGTTTTCCTTTAGACAACGCTATCCTATTATTAAGGAATAGGTAGCACCGTCGTTGGAGTTTTAAG